GAGGGGGCAAAACTGTGACTTATGCAGTCAAGGGGAGAAATAAAGGATGTCCACACACTTCTGCCCCTTTCAATGCTGTATTCACTCAAATTACTCAATACAGTTTAACTGTATAGGTTCTTAATCAAGAAAACAACAATCCTTAATGCTAGGCATTGCCATAGACATAATCAATTCACAACAAACAATTGTAGATTCATTCTAAGCACTGGAAAACACACTTAATCATGATAAGCTAATGACAGACATTCCCTCTGCATGCTAAGTTCAAAGGTCTTATGTCTGAGGCTTTGAGTCCAGCAGATGCACACTCACTCAGACCTCAGTGACCAGGTCTGGAACCAAGGCAGGCTTTTCCTGGTGTGGAGCGGAGGACCAGTGGAGGAGGAGGTTGTAGAGAGGAGTTGCAGCTCTCACCAAGGTCCAGAGGAGGCAGTCAAGTTTGAAGCAGTGAGGATCACACAGAGACTCAGGAAAGATTCCAAGTGATGGGATGTCAGGTCCTCAGCAGGCTCTCCAGTGCATCCTTGTTTCTGCTGCCTGAATTTCTGTTCATCTGCTCTATCATTTATACTATGTTTTGGGGCTTTTGATCATGTTTTCAGTCCTGATCAGCTACCACCCTATTTCTCAGTGACATCATTTACCCTGGGATCATCTCCTCCCTGATCTTCTCCCTTTCCCTCTTATCAGGAAAGGACAGCCTGGCATAGCCTTCACTCTCTTTATCAGGGTGAGGGGAAGGAACTTGTTTGAGGCCTTACTGGAGGGATCTGTGGATGTGCCTGGTGAAACTGCAGGTCTTTTAAAATGGAGTTGCTTAGGCTCAGGCCTAAGGCCCTTCTAACAAGGCCTGTGCCACTGTCCCTGGCAAGAAGAACACTTTTGAAAGCATTTGTTTTCTATTTGTGAATATTATATTTGAGGGGAAAGAATAATCACTTAACAGTTCCCTGTGTTTGGTCAAAATAATTACTTTAAATGGAAAACGGCACTTGTACATAGAACCTAGGGATATTCTTGGGTTATGTTATATTTTTATTAGTTATACATGACATTATAGCGCATTTTGACACAGCACACATGAATAGAGTGTAAGTGCTCCTTTTTCTGGTTGTACTTGATGTGGATTCACACCAATCCTGTAGTCATATATGCACATAGGATAATAGTGTTTCATTTTTTTCTCTTGTTCTCCATCTCCAACTTTTTAAATTTGATTTTCAGATGGAGTCTGGCTGTGTTGCCCAGCCTGGCCTGTAAGTCCTGCCCCTCCTGCTTCAGTTTCTCAAGCTGTTGACATTAAAGGCATTGGCATTCCAGCTATGGAAAATAGCTCATTTTGATTTATATATTAATTACCATATTCAGAAACATGGATTCAAGTGACCCTAAATGATGTATGTGTCCCACCCTGAAAGACAAGGATTAAACCCAGGGGCACTTAATCACTGAGCCACAATCAGTCCTTTTTAGAGTGTATTTTGAGACATGATCTCATCAAGTTCCTTATGGTCTCACTAACTTGCGGAGGCTGACTTTGAATTTAGCAATCCTCCTACCTTACCCTCTAAAGCTACTGGGATTACAGTCGTGTGGCACAGTGCCTGGCCTACATGAACTTTTATAAAAGAAACTTTGTATCACTACATTAACCAATTGCATTGGTAGGATCATCAGATTGGTGGGCTACAGAAAGAAAGGAAGGAAGAAAAAAAAATTCTTCTGATTGTTGTTATTACATTCTTTCTTTGGTAGATGGTGGGGACTAGATGTCTGGTAAAGGTAGTGATATATTCTGAGAAATTTAATAGTTTTGAGAATTGTGGTCTGATACAGAAATTAAGATAATTGGCTATTAAAGGGCTTAAGATAGCCCAAGATAATTTTTGCTCTCCATACAGAACCCTGCCTTTCCACCCTCATGGTGGTCTGGTTAGCCAAGTCAAGTACTCTGAAGGTTCTTTGATGTAGATGCAACTGTATAGAGAACTTGAGTTCACAGCTGTAAAAATCTTGTGCTTCTCCTTTTATCTTCCTTAGGCGTAGACACCATGTCAGATTTCTTGGGCAGGGGTTCCCTTTAAACGCCTCACAGGGTCCCATGTCCTCACCCACTGTCCTCTCCTCAGCTGCCACAAGGTGCCCACAGCTGCCCTGGTCCCTGCAGGGTGAACAGAACTTCAGGCCCTGGGTCAGCTCTTCCTAGAGGACACCCTGAGGTGTGGGGTGCAGCCTCTCAGGGAAGCTGCTGGCGGCTCTGGGCTGAGGAATCTCCTGGAACAGGCCTCATCTAGACAGCTACTTCCTTGGAAACTTGTTTTTTCCCTGCTCTGTTCCCATTTCTTGGAGAGAGGTGGCCAGTCATCCTGTGGATGCTGGTGCTGAGGGGCCAGGTCACCAGTGATTCTTGCCTTTTTAGTCTCACAGTGTGAAGGAGCGAAACCTCTCCCAGAGCATAAGCAACACCCACCCCAGTGCAGAGCTGTGCAAACCTGAAAAGCTTCGTAGACTGGAGTCATGGTCTAGGTCCCTGGGAGGGTGTTCCTAGATGCTTTCAGGAAGCAAGACCAAAAGAGGTCACATCCCAGATGTCAGGGACCTTCCCTGCCCCTTGTGCCTAACACACGTGTGCTCCCTCAGCACCAAAGCTTTCTGTGTATCACTTTGAAATGATCTGCTCACATTTTGAGGCCCAGGTCTATTTTTTCAGAGCTAAGTTGGATGGACTATGATTAAATAGGCAAGAAAGAAGTGGATTTTAAAAAGTCTAGTTACATTTCTATTGTGAAAACAATTACAGTCAGGTACAGTGGTGCAAACCTGTGATCCTTGCTGTTCCAGAAGCTGAGGCAGTAGGATTGCAAACTTGAGGACAGCCTTAGCCACTTAGCCAGGCCTTATGTCTGTGGATGTGACTTATCAGTAAAATTCCTCTGGGTTTAATCTCTGATCCCAAACCAAAGAAAAAGAACAGAACAGAAAAACAAACAACAACAACAACAAAAAAAAAAACACATCTAATTTATCTTTTGCTACCCCTGAGTATGCATAGAAAATTGGTGAGATTTGCTCTTGTCTTTTCCATGATTTCCAATTGAAATCCATGTCCTAGATTCCAGAACGCCAGAGAGCAATAATGGTAGACAGAGAAACTCTGTCTACCATTATTGCTGCAGGAAATGAATCCATTTCTACAAAAATTGTAGTGGATAAATTTATGAATTTTATTTTATGTAAATTAGTTACAGTCATTGATGAGCTGAAGAATTTGACAGGGATGACAGTTTGTTGTTACTGTTGTTGTCTGGATTTGGCAGGTTCATGTTAGCTGTGTGGTTTTTGGTATCAGGAATGGAACCCAGAGGTGCTTAGCCACTGAGCCACAACCCTGGCCCCTTTTAGATTCTTTTTTTTTTTTTTGAGTCAGGGTCTTGCTACATCACCTTGGGCCTCTGACCCCTGAACTACAGGGGTTACAGATGTGCACCATCACACCCATCTTCATTGGAAGTTTTAAGGACAATTTTGGCAATACCTAAAATCCCCAACTGTGATCATTTAAAAAATCACTGAATACTTTATCAGTGAAATAATAAATGACACCTGTTTTCTGAAAAGGAGATATATATATATATATATATATATATCTCAGTGAGGGTGCTGATCCTCTCACAAGCACTCCCACCATGTCAACTGATTGCTGTTCCCTCCTAATTACCTCCTCCTAGGGCTACCCATTTGGGAGCCGGCCTTTTAGCTTATGAAACTTGGGAGTAACAAATGCTCTCTCTACTCTCTCTGTCCTGTACAATATTTTCACTGGTCATAGATACAGTGTACTATTTTCATTTTAGATGCAGTTTTTCTAGTTCATCCCAAAAAACACAATAATCCATGCCCTGAATTTCACATAATTTACTGAAATGCTCTTTGTTTTTTCAAAGAGTGTAGATCATGGGCAAGTTCAGTCTCCTTTGTAAGAAAGTGTGTTGTCTTTTCATTGATTTTTGTTGCCTCTCATTGTGTATCTTTTGTATTATAATCTTTTTTATCACTCATTACATATATTTTCAGGTTTTTGTTTGTGTGGGTCTGTGTGTGTGTTTGTGTACATGGACTGTTGATGATTGAACCGAGGGCTATCAAGTTCTTACTACTGAGCTACTCTCCACCCCAAGAAAATTAATATTGTAGACTGGGGTTTACTTATTTGCTGATGTATAGAGTGCTGGGATTGAAGCCAGGGACTTGCTCAGCTTATGTTGTCCTCAAAAAAATGAATTTCAATGTGTGAGAAGCATTTTGGAGGTTGGCAGGTGTTTTACTGGGGAATAAACCTAGAGGCACTTGACCACTGAGCACGTCCTCAGCACTTCCTATTTATTATGTACCTATTTGTTTTTATTTTTATTTTGTATAGTTGTAGAGGGGCAGAATACCTTATTTTTGTTAATTTATCTGTGGTGCTAAGGATCATACCCAGTGCCTTATACTGTAGCTCTGCAACTCAGCTACAATCCCAGTCCTCCCATTTATTGTTGAAAACCAAATTTCACAAAATTTCTGGATGTGTTGCTAAATTGTGGAGAGAGCTTCCAACTTGCCAGGTCCATGCCTGGACCTCCCTAGTGGTGAAATTACAGGTGCACACCACCACACCAGCAGTTGGAATATTTTTTAAAGATTTATCATCCAGGGGTTGGGTTTGTGGCTCTGAGAAAAAGTGCTCACCTAGCATGCGTGAGGCCTTGAGTTCGATCCTCAGCACCACATAAATATTAAATAAAGGAATTGTGCCCACCTAGAACTAAATCATAAATATATATTTTTTAAAAAAGATTTATCATCCAGTTTCTTTCCAGATGGAAATAGTATTGAAAATCAGTTTCCTTGCTCTTGTCCATAGTTTTGAAATTTGTAACTATGACTTTTCTTCTTTGCTTTATTTTTTGCATTATTATTTGCGAAAGGTATTCATTATGTAATATTGTTTCTTATGCTTATATTTGTTAAAGTTTATGGCATGGTAGTTCATTCACTTCCTTATTAAATCAATTTTGTTTTTCAGAGCAATTTTAGACTTATAGTTTGTTAGTCAATGATTTCTAGAGGAACAGCATCAACACGAAGTGTGATTAAAAAAGTTGACTTATAGTTTTGCCTACTTGACCTGAAGCTGGATGTCCACAGTGACCATTTGCAGCTGGAGAGCTTGAGAAGTAGTAGCTGCAGAGTCCAAGAGGCTGAAGCCTCAGAACAAGAGGGATCAGTGGTCCTGCCCTAGTCCAGACCAAAGGTTCTGGAAACTCCCTGGAGAATCACAGGCAGAGTCCACTTTGGGAGAGTGAAGAAGGCAGAGTCTGATATCCTCAGGCCACTGCAGCAGCCATTGGAGAAGAAAGGCCTTTCTCTGCTGCTGCTTCCTTCTTCTTCCAACTTTTGTTCCACCTAAGACACCCTCCTATTGCATGGTGCTGCCTATACCTAAGGAGGTTCTCTAGTTTGGTTCACTTTCCACATGCCAATCATTTGTAGACACACCCTCATGGACACACCCAGAGGCCTCTTAATCACAGGTATCTCTTAATCCAATGCTGTTGACAATTCAAATGAGCCATTACATATAGTGTCAAACACCCTTCTCTACACTGTTCTCAATATTTTGCATTGATGTTGGATGCTTGTTAGTTACTGAATCAGTGTCCTACATTTGATTAAGATTGTGGATGAAGTAATACTTTATCATCAGCTGAAATCCATCCTTTACCTTAGGGTTCCACCTCTTGGTGTGATTTTGTGTATCACATACTCTACATAGTAATGTCATACAGAAGAGTTTCAGTGCATCTATGATGTTGTCTCTTCTGGAATGTTCTTGAATTGAAATCTTACTGCACTTGGCTTTTCAGACTGGCTTCTCTCACTTAGCAGTCTGCCTTTAAGGGTGCTGTATCTTTCCAGGCTGCAGAGCTCACTTTCTGGGTGATGTTCTTTGGTGTGGTTAAACTGCAGCTTGTCCATTCAGCATTGAAAGGTGCATCTTCCTTGCTTCTAGTTTTGGGAAGTTCTGGATATGGCTGCTGTAGTCACTGCTGAGAAGTTTTCTGTGCATAATTTTCACCTCATTTGAATAGACACCTGGGAGTGTGGTGAATTAATTGTAGAGTGCACCATGTTTATTTTGTAATAGCGTGACTGTCTTCCAGAGAGAGTGTTCTTCTCTCCATTCACATGAGCAAGGGAAGGGTGCTTGCTGATTTATGTTTGCAGTGTCTTTTGGAGCTTTTGGTGTTTGGCATTTCACCACTCCAGTTGAGTATCTGTTGGCACTTCATTGTTCATTTTGAAATTTCCTAATTATATGCAGGTGAACATCTTCTCACACATGTGTTAACTGTGCGTATTTATTGATGAGTGTCTTTCCAAATCTTTTTCCCACTTCCAAGATGGTTGCTTATTTTTTTACTGAGTATTCTTCATGTATGTTGAATACCAACCCAGTGTCACTATGTGTTGTGACAACATTTTTTCCAGTTCTCCAGCATGTTTTCTCATTCTCTCAAGTATATCTTTTGCAAAACACAAACTTCGTTTTGATCAAGTTCTATTTACAAGTTTTTCACTCACAGTTTATGTGTTTGATGTTGCATATGAAGCTGTCATGCCAACCCAGATTTCTCTGTAAGTACTTCTTTGTTATTTTAGTGAAGTTTGGAGTTTTGCATTGGGTACTACAATGTATAGGCAATTTTTTGGTGCTGACAAGTTAACCCTGGGCCTCCTATGTGCCAGGCAGGTGCTTTGCTAGAACTGCAGCCCCAGCTGTGTGTCCCACTTTGAGACTGAGGCTTCACTGGGAGCGCTGTGACATTTGTGAAATGTGAATGTTTTCTTTCTCTACATGATAATTCATGTCCAGTGCTTTGGCAACATTGTCAAAGAGAGTATATTTTCCATTGATTTTCTTTTGCTCCTTTGTCAAAGATCAGTGGCATATTTTTATCCTGTGCCAAATACGACTGTGTCTTGATGATTGTAGATTTTTAGTAGTTGTTAACCTCAGGTAGTGTTTATCCTGTGAACTGAGTGTTCATTACTGTGTTGGTTGTTCTGGATCTTTTGTTACTGAAAACATGACTTAAAATATTTTTTATTGGGATTATATTTAATCCATAAATAAAATTGGTAAGAATTGATGGTAACTGAGGCTTCCTATCTGTGAACATAAAAGTATCTCCAAATATTTTCCATGTCTCTGATATTTTTTATTAGAAGTTAGCAGTTTTTGTCATAAAGATTTTTGTTAGATTTATATATAAGTATTTCTCTTTTATTGGTTCTGTATAAGTGGTGTGTGTTTGTTTTTCTTTTGATTTTGTTGCTGGCTGTTGGACTCAGGGGTGCTCTACCATTGAGCTGCATTCCCAAAACTTTTAATTTTTTGTTTAGAAACAGAGTCTTGCTAAATTGCCCAGGCTGGACTCAAACCTGGGATCATCCTGCCTTGGCCCCCTGATTGGCAAAGACTACAGGCATGGCCTCCATGCCCAGTTTTTTGCTGTCAATAGTAGAATAATTGTCCTATTTATTAATATGACAACACTGATGTCACATCATTGTTTTTCATGATTCTTCAGTGGATTCTAGTAGCATAGAGGATCATGCTGTCTCTCTATGAAGACATTGTGTTTTTTTGAGCTTGAGTGTTTTTTCATTATTCTTGATTTTTTTAACTATTTATATAATCAATATTTATTATTTAGCTTTTTGTTGTGATGGATAATGTTAATTGGTTTTTTAATTCTGAATCAGCCTTGCATGTGTGCTGTGTTCCTGGGCCCTGCAGAGGCTGATGTGAGTGGATCTGGGCCACTGGGCTTGACTTCCCACAGTAGTATGCTGGTCCCTGGAAAATGTTAACTAGTTTTAAATTTGGCATCAGTCACACAGAGCTGTAATAATTTCCTCTTGACTGTGTTTATAATTGTTTTTATTTATGTTTTGATTCAGTAAAGTATTGTTTGAGGAATTTTGCATTCATGATCATGAGAGTCTTTCATAGTTTTTTTTTTCTATTTAATACTTTTCTTTATCTATTTAATTTTGATAATATGGTAAAATATGCCAGATAAATAATTAGAAGGTGGGTTGGGGTTGTGGCTCAGTGGTCAAGAACTTGCCTAGCATGTGCAAGGTCCTGGGTTCAATCCTCAGCATCACATAAATAAATAGGAAAAAGCTATTGTGTTCAACTGCAAGTAAAAAAATAAATATAAAAAGACATAATTAGGAAGTTTTATCTCAACTTTTGTTGTCTGAAAATAACAGTAGAAAATTGGTGGCAGGTCTTAAATGTCTCATAGAAGCCTGTTTGAGATGTCGGAGCCTTGACTTTCTTTTTTCTTGCAGGGCGGTAGTAATTATATATATTTTTTTTAAATTTTTGAAATGTGTTTTAGTCTTTCACAGTTAAATGTATAATAAATGATATTTGTCTGCAGAATAGTGGGATGAAGTACCCTTTGCCACTTAGATTTCAGTTTGCCTGGACCATTATTGTGATCAGTCTCCAAGACACCTGCTGTCACTCATACTTGTTCCATGCAACGAAGGACAGCCCACTAAAGGCTTTCTCTCAGGCTCCTATTAACCTCTGTTGATACTGTCCTGCTTCAAATGTTATGTGTCTTATGTCCTATGCATGGTTCTTTGTGAGTGGCAGGGTCGTGTTCTGGTAGGTGGTCCTTTGGGCTGTTTCACACTGTGCAGAAATTATAGCCTGCTTAGAGACCCACATGGAGTGGCCTGTTTCACAAACAGCATGGGATAGTTCAGGATTCTGGGCTGCAAACCTGCTGCTTTAACACACCCTGGAAGTGCTTGTGCCTGAGGTTTTTTTGCACCAGCTGTGCTACAGGAATGAGGAATCTCTTTCATGACAGACCAACATTGCACATGTGCCCTATCTTGATCAATGTGTCCTTGAGCAACGGTGGTATGTGTCTCATGACTGTACATGATCTGAGTGAGTCATCTGCTTTTCAGAAGAGTTTGAGAATCATTGGACATTCATGGTTGCCATGAGGTTTAGGAAAGGATTTTCTGCTGTTAAGAAAACTATTTTTCAAACCGATATAATTTTGTAAGGCTTTTGTTTGAACAGTGTGACACCTTGGGGTCATCGAGTTCTTTCTGAGACACAAGCCATCTTTCCACACACCCCATTCTGCTTTGACATTAACCACCAGAAATTATTATATTGTTATGTTTATTAATCATTGTGCTTGATTACTAATTGGGTAAATTTGTTCTGGAGTAAAGCACCTGCAAACTTCTAGTTGTCCTCAGTGTAATCACCCAAGTTGAGCTCAGTCCCCAGTGAACACATTGTGATGACCTGTGTGGAAGATTGTCTAACTATTGTCTATGAGGGAAACTCTTTAGTGACTCCATACTCTGAGGGTGTGGGTTGGGGCTGATTCTAGGCACTTATTTAAAGATGGAACAATTGACTTTCAGAAGGAAACAGGAGATCAGTATATACCATGTTGTCTATATTAACTGTGTAGGCCCAGTGAGCCACTGTGTTTGGCAGGTTCTCTCAAATGCTGAGTTTTGTGATCCCAGCAATTTTTTACTCAGTCAGCTTTCTTTTCTAAGGGTAAGTAATAAGGAGGGTGATAATATTAGCTCTCTACCGCACAGGATTTTGGTAAGAAGGTGATAGAGATGCAATCAACAAATAAGATCAGGGTGACCCCGGAGCCCCTCTTACTGCCTGTAAACTTACCAAAGGAAGGGTGTACAACACTCTACTATTTACCTTGTGTGGGGCCCAAATCTAGTGTTGGAGTGGCTGTGAAGAATTAAATGCACTGGAGATTTCAATGACCAAATCGTGGAATTAATCGAGAGGCCAGGGAATCTTGTGAACATCATGCATGTTGAGTATAGATTTCTCATGCTGTGAAATCTCTCCTGGTTTCCACTACACATTTGTGGGATATTTTAGATGTCAGTGACCTTCGAGGATGTAGCTGTGAACTTCATGCAGGAGGAATGGGATTTGCTGGATGCTTCCCAGAAGAACCTTTACAGAGATGTGATGCTGGAAGTCCTCAGAAACCTGGCATCTATAGGTAATAATTTGTGTATTTACTTAATTAGAGATTTTGTGTTTATTTTTCTTTATTTATGTAGAACATGAGAAGACAATCAGTTGGTGAATTATTGTAGCATAAAATGCACTATGAATTTGGAAAAGCATTTTTAGCTCCTAGGAATTGATAATGTTTTGGTTTGGCATTTTAGGAATCAAATGTGATGAGAAGAATATTGAAAATCAGATCAAAAATTTTGGGAGCGATCAAAGGTAATTGTACTCACAAGAGGAATCCTTGAGGGAATCTGGGAATGTCATATAATTTTTAAAACCAATGCAAGAAATTTGCACAACTTTAAATGTATTTATTTTTATAAGATTTTTTACCAGAAATGTATACTTCACTGGGACTGGGTTTCTGGCTCAGTGGTAGAGAGCTTGCCGTGCATGCTTGAGGCACTGGGTTCTCTTCTCAGCACCACATTTAAATCATTAAAGTCTTTTGTCAAGTGAAATAAATTTATTTATATATATATATATATATATTTATATAAAAGATATTAAGTCTATTCAAAGTGCTTGACATGCAAAAAGTATTATGAAATTTCATATATGAATATAACTATTTGAATAATGACCATAGGCAAGCTGTGTTGCAAAGCATTGTTTTCTCTCAATCTCTTTGTTTTCTGGCTATTTGAAGAAGTTTGAAAAACATAGACTTTACCTCATGTTGGAAGTAACGTTAACCTAGGACCTTAAATAAATACAACATCATAAATTAATCAAGAATTAATAATGTTCTGGTCATGAAATACCAATTCTTTTTTTTTTTTTTTTTAGAGAGAGAGAGACAGAATTTCAATATTTATTTTTCAGTTTACGGCGTACACAACATCTTTATATGTGGTGCTGAGGATCAAACCCGGGCCGCACGGATGCCAGGCAGGCACGCTACTGCTTGAGCCACATCCCCAGCCCGAGATACCAATTCTTAAGCAAAGAAAAATTTTAATAGAGTAAATTCATGTGACTGCATTATGTGTGCCAAAGACTTCATATGCCCTTCATTCCTTCATAGGCAGATCACATCTCACTATGGACCCGAATGCTACAAGCAGGAAGAATGTGAAGAGAACCCATGTGAATTGAAACTATACAGGAAATCTCTGGTTTCTCTCAAAAGTGTTCATACACAAATGTTAACACAAACTGGAGATGGACCCTATGAAAGTACAGTATGTGGGAAAGTCATCAGCTGTTCCAATGACATTCAAAGGCATGAAGATTCTCATACTGGGTGGCAACCTGATGAATGTCAACAATGTGATGAAGCCACATCTTCTCCCATAGATGTTCAAAGTCACACAAGAACACATACCGGAGGTAAAGCTTTTCAAAGTGAGGTATGTGGGACAGCCTTTTATTCCCCCACTTTATTTAGAATACATGAAAGAACTCATTCTGGAGAGAAATTTCATGAAGGTAAAGAAGGTGGTAAAACCTTGGTTTCACCCACAGGTCTACACAGTCACGTGATCACGCACACTGGGAAAGTACTTTTTAAATGTAACGTATGTGGGAAAGACTTTGCTTACCAAAGTTTATTTAGAATACATCAGAGAAAACATACTAGAGAGAGATCCTATGAAAGTCAACAATGTGGAAAAGCCCACACTACTTTGTCTTATCTTCAGATACAAGAACAAATCCATACGGGCGAGAAGACCAATGAATGCCAACAATGTGAAAAAGTCTTCACTACTTCTTTATCCCTTGACAGACATGAACAAACGCATACTGGAGAGAAGCCCTATCAATGTCAACAATGTGGAAAAGCCTACAGTACTTCATCTTACCTTCAGATACATGAACAAATCCATGCTGGAGAGAAGCCCAATGAATGCCAACAATGTGGAAAAGTCTTCACTACTTCTTCTTCCCTTCACAGACATGAACGGACGCATACTGCAGAGAAGCCCTATGAATGTGAGCAGTGTGGCAAAGCCTTCACTCAGTCCAATCGCCTTCACTCACATGAAAAAACTCATACTGGGGAGAAGCCCTATGAATGTCAACAATGTGGGAAAGCCTTCAGTACTTCTTCCTACCTTCACATACATGAGCGGACTCATACTGGGGAGAAGCCCTATGAATGTAAGCAGTGTGGCAAAGCCTTCACTAACTCCTCTATACTTCACAGACATGAAAGAACACATATGAAAAAGAAACCCTATAAATGCCAACAATGTGGGAAAGCCTTCACTACTTTGTCTTACCTTCAGATACATGAACAAATTCATACTGGAGAGAAAACAAATGAATGCCAACAATGTGGAAAAGTCTTCACTACTTCTTCTTCCCTTCACAGACATGAACGAACACATACTGGAGAGAAGTCCTATCAATGTCAACAATGTGGAAAAGCCTATACTACTTTGTCTTACCTTCAGATACATGAACAATTCCATGCTGGAGAGAAGCTCAATGAATGCCAACAATGTGGAAAAGTCTTCACTACTTCTTTTTCCCTTCACCGACATAAATGGACGCATACTGGAGAGAAGCCCTATGAATGTAAGCAGTGTGGCAAAGCTTTTGCTCTATTGTCTAGCCTTCACTCACATAAAAAAACTCATACGGAAAATAAACCCTATGTATGTCAACAATGTGGAAAAGTCTTCACTACTTCTTTTAACCTTCACAGACATGAACAAATGCATACTAGAGAGAAGCCCTATGAATGTAAGCAGTGTGGCAAAGCCTTCAGTATGTCCTCTAAACTTCACAGACATGAACAAATGCATACTGGAGAGAAGCCCTATGAATGTAAGCAGTGTGGCAAAGCCTTCACTAAGTCCTCTAAACTTCACAGACATGAACAAATGCATACTGGAGAGAAGCCCTATAAATGTGAGCAGTGTGGCAAAGCCTTTAGTATGTCGTCTAAACTTCACAGACATGAAAAAACTCATACTGGGGAGAAGCCCTATGAATGCCAACAATGTGGGAAAGCCTTCAGTACTTCTTCCTATCTTCACATACATGAGCGGACTCATAGTGGGGAGAAGCCCTATGGATGTAAGCAGTGTGGCAAAGCCTTCACTGACTCCTCTAAACTTCACAGACATGAAAGAACACATACTAGAGAGAAACCCTATGAATGTCAACAATGTGGGAAAGTATGCACTACTTTGTCTTACCTTCAGATACATGAACAAATCCATACTGGAGAGAATCCCAATAAATGCCAACAATGTGGAAAAGTCTTCACTACTTCTTTTTCCCTTGGCAGACATGAACGGACTCATAGTGGAGAAAAGCCTTATCAATGTCAACAATGTGGAAAAGTCTACAGTACTGCCTCTAACCTTCACATACATGAACAAACCCATTCTGGAGTGAAGCCCTATGAGTGTAAGCAGTGCGGAAAAGCCTTTGCTAGATCTTCTCAGCTTCACAAACATGAACAAACTCATACTGGAGGGAAGCCCTATGAATGTAAACAGTGTGGCAAAGCCTTTGCTGAATCTTCTCAGCTTCACAGACATGAACGAACTCATAGGGGAGAGAAGCCCTATGAATGTCAACAATGTGGAAAAGCCTTTGCTACATCCAGTCACCTTAAGAGTCATGGAAGAACACATACTGGAGAGAAGCCCTATCAATGTAAGCAGTGTGGCAAAGCCTTCACTCAATCCCATCATCTTCACAGGCATGAAAAAACACATACTGGAGAGAAGACTTATGAATATCAACAATGTGGAGAACCCCTTGACACATCCAGTGAACCTCACATAC